CACTTGATACTGGCGGCCAACTAGACTTCAAGCCATTGATTACTACCCTCTGAGCCCAATGCTCCAACCAGTTTTCTATCCACCTTACAGTCCATTTATCCAGCCCACACTTCCTTAGCTTGCCTGCTAGAATGCTGTGGGAGACTGTATCAAAAGACTTGCTAAAATCAAGGTACACCACAGCTACTGGTTGACCCGCATCCGCAGAACCAGTCATCTCATAATAGAAAGCAATCAGGTTGGTCAGGCATGACTTATCCTCGGTGAATCCATGCTGACTGCTCCTAATCATCTTCTCCTCCAAGTGCTTAGAAATGGATTCCTTGAGGACCTGCCCCATGATTTTTCCAGTAACTGAGGTGAGGTTGACTGGTCTGTAGTTCCCTGAATCCTCCTTCTTCCCTTCTTTAAACATGGATACTATATTTGCCCTTTTCTAATCATCCAGGACCTCCCCTGACTGCCATGAGTTTTCAAAGATAATGGCCAGTGGCTCTGCAATCACATGAGCTAGCTCCCTCAGCACTCTTGGATGCATCCAGCCCCATGGGCTTGTACACATCCAGCTTTTCTAAATCGTCCCTAACCTGTTTTCATCACTGAGGGCTGCTCACCTCCTCCCCAACCTGTGCTGCCAGGCACAGTAGTTTGGGAGCTGACCTTGCCTGTGAAGACTGAGGTGAAGACGACATTGAGTACTTCAGCATTTTCCTCATCATCTGTCATGAGGTTGTGTCCCCCATTCAGTAAAAGACCCACACTTTCCCTTTCCTTCTTCTTGTTACTATCATACTTGTAGAAACCCTTCTTGTTACCCTTCACATTCCTTGCTAGCTGCAACTCCAATTGCTGACTTCATCCCTGCATGCCCAAGCAATGCTCTTATACTCCTACCTAGTTGTTTGTCCAATCTTCCACTTCTTGTCACCTTCCTTTTGTGTTTAAGCTCACTGAAGAGTTCTCTGTTAAGCCTACCTGGTCGCTTGCCATATTTGATAGTCTTCCTGCACACGGGGATGTTTTGTTCCTAAATCCTCAGTAAGTCTTCTTTAAAATACAACCAGCTTTCCTGGACTCCCCTTTTTGGCCTCCCAGGGGATCCTACCCATCAGTTCCCTGAGGGAGTCAAAGTCTGCTTTTCTAAAGTCCTGGGGCCATACTCTGCTGCTCTCCATCCTTCCTTTCCTCAGAATCCTAAACTCAATCATCTCATGGTCACTGCTGCCCAAGTTGCCATCCACTGCTACATTCCCCACCAATTCTTCCCTGTTGGGAACTGGGGGGCAGCAGGTCAAGAACAGCATGCCCCCCGATTGGTCTCTCCGACACTTGCACCAGGAAGTTGTCCCCAATGCTCTCCAAAAACTTCCGGGATTTTCTGCGCACTGCTGTATTGCTCTCCCAGCAGATGTCAGGGTGATTGATGTCTCTCATGAGAACCAGGGCCTGTGATCCGGAGACTTCAGCTAGTTGTCTGAAGAAAGCCTCATCTACCTCATCCTCCTGGTCTGGTGGTCTAGAGCACCCACCCACCACAACATCACCCTTGTTGCTCTCGCCTCTGACCTGAATCCAGGAACTTTCAACAGTCCCATGTCCAGTTTCATACGAGAGCTCTGAGCAATCAAACCACTCTTTACATACAGCACAATTCTTCCTCCTCTTCTCCCCTGCCTGTCCTTCCTGAACAGTGTGTACCCATCCATGACAGTGCTCCAGTCATGTGAGCTCCCACCAAGTCTCTGTTACTCCAATCATGTCATAGCTCCCTGACTGTACGAGGACTTCCAATGCTTCCTGCTTGTTTTCCAGGCTCTGTGCATTCATGTACAGACATCAGAGGAAAGTAGCCAATTGCCCTACTGTCTCAGGAACAATGAGAAGGCTTCCCCTGTTGCCCCCTCCTGCTTGTGCTTCCTCTTGGTCCCCAGCTTCCCCACTTACCTCAGGGCTTTGTTCTCCACCCTCCGGCAAACTTATTTTAAAGCCTTCTTCACCAGGTTAGTGAGCCTGTCTGCAAATATGCTCTTCCCCCTCTTCACCAGGTGGATCCTGTCTCTTCCTAGCAATCCTTCTTCTTGGAACAACATGCCATGGTCAAAGAAGCTGAATCTCTGCTGGCAACAGCACCTGTGCAGCCATTCATTGACGTGTAGGATGTGTCCGCTCCTGCCAGGGCCCTTCTTTTTGATCAGAAAGATTGAAGAGAATACCACCTGTCTCCTTCACCCTTGCACCCAGAGTCCTGTAGCCACTCTTGATCTGCTCAGGGTCATCCCTGGCATTATCATTGGTGTCCACATGGATGAGCAGCATGGGATAGTAGTCAGAGGGCCGGACAGGTCACAGTAACCCTTCCATGACACCTTGGATCCAGGCTCCAGCCATGCAGCAGATCTCGCAGGACAATAGGTCAGGCTAGGAGATGGATACCTCCATTCCCCACAAAAGGGATTCTCCAACCACCACCACCCATCACTTCCTTTTCGTGGCAGTGGTCTGGATCCTCCCCACCTTGGGGATTCCTGGCCTGGCCTCTTCCATCACTGGAATGCTCTTCTCCTTCTCTGTTGCTAGTACTCCATATCTGTTCTCCAGGCAAACCACTGTACATGGGGATGATGACTTCTTCTTGCTGCCAGAAGATACAAGCTTCCAGTTTCCAGGGAGTCCATGCCCTCTTCCTTTTCTAGGACCACCTCTGGCAGTCCTTCCTCCACAGTCCTAGAAGTTTCCTCTAGCATGAAATCGATGAAGTCCTCATGGCGGAGGATGCTTCAGAGCCTTGCTACCTCCTCCTGTATCTCTCTTGCCCTCTCCCTGAGGGGCACCACCAGAAGGCACCTCCCATATTGCAGGCACTCCCCCACCTGGCTGACACTGGAAGAAATCTGCAAGCGACAGTCTGCACAGCACCAAACCAGGACCTAGGTGGAAGCCTCAATGGTGTGTGGTCCTGTCTAGACAGACCCCTCACAGGTGGAAGCAGAGGAAGAGCTGGAAGTGGCAGTGGCTCTGGTATTGCAACATCCTCCAGATATGCCTCCAGGTCTTCTAATCTGCTGCCTCTCACTTCGTGCCTATCTTTCCAAGCAGACCTTCCCTAGCAAAGGTGACCAGTTCAGTCTTCTTTAAAACTGCCTATAACGATTTTTTTTTTAACTATAAAAACCACTGGCTCACATGAAGACACGCAAAGATAAAATCAACCCCCTGTTAAATCTCTAAGGGAGACTGTAAGTGAATTAACTGAAGTGAAAAGTTCCAGAGGGATAGTATTTGAGGATGAAATTTATACACTAAGCAAGGACAGCAGGCACAACATTGCCTGAGCCCTCCCACAGTGTTGTACTTCTGACCTTTTCTAAAGGGACCACCTTTGTACATGAGAGTCTCCATAGTGCTTTAAATATTTGGCCCTTTTGGTGAGACTAGCAAGCAAGGGGCCAAATGCCCAAACGATTCCTACAATATTCACATCTGTCCTCTAAGAGCTGTACTAGACAAGCAGCTCATTCCACCGGGAACAGGAAGTGTGGTTTAGTGATTAAGGCTGAAATCAGCAAGTGACAACTCCTGGGGGTGGTTTCTAGTCATGTCACTGACTCATTATGAAGGATCCTGGTTTTCTCTGTTAAAAAATCCAAAATTCTCTAATTAAAACCCCCAAATCTGCATCTTTCTGTGATTAAAATGACATGCCATTATATATGTATGTATGTATGTATGTATGTATGGGTATCAAATGAACACAATGCTTTATTGATATATTTACAATGTTAAAGCAATTTAGAAGACTACCAGTGCTTCAATCATTATAATGAAATAAACTCTAAATAACTCTATATTTAGGTGTTTGATTTTGGGTTTTTTATCATGGAAAATCAGAGCTCCCCCTGCCCCCTTCACTCCCCAGCACATGGGTTCTTCTGCGACTGCCCCCCCCAGCTGCTTTGTGATACTGAGCAGCCCTGATATGCCACTGCCCCTCAGTCCCTAGCCACAGACCCTCCAGCCCTGCCGGTACCCCTCACTCCTGACCCACAGCCCCTACTTATATCCCCACTCACTCCCTCCCAGAAGCAGCTCCCCCCCACACACCAGGATGCAGGTCCAACTGCAGCTGTTACCCTCTGCTTTGTGGCACTGAGCAGCCCTGACATGCTGGTACCCTGCCCCTGCCCCTACCCGTGCCATTGCCCCTCACTCCCAAGCCACAGCCCCCCAGCCATGCCAGTGCCCCTCACTCCCAACCTGCAGCCCCTGCACACCCTACAGCAAATTGCAGCAAACCATACTGGACTCTTGGGACACAGGGGTGGGGGCTTGGGAGCAACACAGGACTGCCAGGCTGCCCAGCGCAGCCCCTCAGCAGCAGCTGCTGCAAGATCCCATGCAAAGCCCATGCCCCTGCTGCAGAGGAAGGCAACCCTGTCCCCCCACCGTACCAGTTTTATCAGGGGAAAATTCATTCCTGACCTCAATGCAGCATTGGTCTAACTCTTGGCCAGATGGGCAAGACCCTGTAGCCAGGACCTTCCGGGGCTGAATCTCAGCAGAAACATTGGCATATCCCCAACCAGTGACTAACCATCTTCTTCCTGAACACCTCCAGTGCTGGAGAATTCACAGCTTCCCTGGGTGTCTGTGCCAGTGCTCTCTGATCTAACTGGGAGTTGAACTGGAATTGAATCAGAACCTAAGAACTGGTTTGAACTGGTATTGTGATGTGAACCTGAGCCAGAACCAAACCATCATTTGGCCTGTCCTACTGAATCACAATGGGAACAAAGCTGCAAAAAAATCACTTGGATCACCAATTAGACTTGTGTCACTGGTTAGATTGGGGTTACTGGTTAAATGGGAGTCACCAGTTACGCCACCAGTCAGATTGAGGTGACCGGCTCAGTCTTCATTAAAACTGCCTATAACATTTTTTTTTTAACTATAAAAACCACTAGCTCTCATGAAGACACACAGAGATAAAATGACATACTCACCGCTGCCACAAAGACATGCCTCACTGCTCTAACACGAATCCTCCAGATTTTCTCTGAACTTGCGATTTCTATAGCGCTTTTTTTTCTCTTTGGCTCCTTTAATTTATATGATTAACAGAGAATGGAGTTAAATAGAGGTAAACAGCTGTAAATAAATACTACCTCTTTCTCAGTTAGTGGATTCATTCTTATTCTTACAACCGCTTATGTTTCAGGTCAGCTAGTTCTAAATGCCCATTTCCAAAACTTGCTTTAATACTTCATGCAGTTGTAGCATGTAGGATATGGAGAGGAAGCGGGGCAGGCAGGCTCCTAGGGTCTGTGGAGTGATGGGAGGCTGGGGGCATGCCTGCAGGAGCTGCTCCTCTCCTGAGTGCGGGGAGGACTAGGGCCACAGCTGGGACCACTCTGGCCGACTCCCTGGGTTTGGGGAATGGGGCATTTCCCCCTGCCCCCGCCCTAGCACTGCCAGCAGGACCCGCACTCCCCTGCCCTACCACTGCCAGCATGACCTGCATGTGGGTGTGTGGCGCAGGTGGTGCGTAGGGCTTTCTGGAGTCTGGTCCCTTCCCCAGTGGTGCAGGGCTGGTCCAGACTCACCAAAGCTTGGCCCCTGATGGCCCAGACCAGCCCTGTGCCATCAGGACTATGTTCCAAGCTCTGGTGTGCCCGGACCACCCCTGTGTCATCAGGGGCACTTGCACATGGCACCCCCTGCCCCGCAGCTCCAGATATTTTTTTTCCCTTTACCTCCCTGGTCCTGCTCCGATTACCATCCCCGAACTCCCTCCCAGCCCCAAGCAGCTCACTGCAGGCTGGAACTCTGCCAGGCTGCAAGAGTTTCCTGTGTCAAAGGGGAAAATCCAGGTTTTTCTCCTTTAAAAGGGAAAATCCTCATTTTTCCACATTTTCCCACAGGCAACAGAAAACCCAGATCCCTGCTCATCATCATGTAACCGTATGCTGATCAATTGGGTATGGACAGACAAACAAATGATACCACAGTAAAAGTGAAGGGGACTTACCCCATACTGGCTCTTCTGCAGGACTGGTTTCTGTGGCTGCGCCTTCTGCACGGTAAGTGTAAGCTAATCAGGGCAGCTTCTTCCTGAATGAAATAGGACTCAGTTTCCATGGTTTAGCCACTCTGCACGATAGGAGCAAACACATGAAACAGATACTGCAGGGCAGTTGATGAGGGATAAAGCCCCTTCCCTTTGCAATTTGGTATGTTTGATTATCTGTCTAAGCACTTAGGCACATTAGGTCATATTTTTAAAGGCACCTAGCTCTCACTGATTTCAATGAAAGCAAAAATCCTTTAAAATCTGACCTACTACACAGCAGTTTCTTCACTGATGAAAAGGGATAAAAATATTTACCTGCCACACACACGTGTCTTGTACGACTTATGTCAAAAATGTATACAAAGGATGTCATGATCTTCAGACAAAAGAAGCCAAGAGAAGCAGCGCAAACTATTTTTGTAATGTCTTTTGGCCACTCCTGACATATTAGATTTGAATCTGTGATTTAGAGTTGAAAGCATCTATATATTATTCCCAGTTCCCTGAGCCACCTGATTCCTGAAACAACATGCTAGAGAAACTTCTAAAGCGCTTTCAGCTGACGAGAGGCTAATATGTCAGATCTGAGACTCTTAAAGAAGGATCTCATCTGTTGTGTCTCTTTTCTGCTGCTCTCCTTAATGTGCAAATCTCCCCAAATCTCTGCTTTAGCTTAAAATAACAACTGCAAACATTTTTCATTTCAGCTGTGATGGCTCTGTCCTGCAGTGTCTTCTCTCAACAAAAAGCAATTTCAGCCAAAACTTAGGTTCATTCTCTGGCCAACAAATATAAACATCTCTCTTGTTTTTGCTTTTCTTTCTGCTTTCAAATGGATGGAAGACAAAACCAGAGTCATAAGTATATGATCCCCTTGCATGGTTTGGAAAGAAATCGAAATACTTTGAAACTTGGTCCTGGACCCAAACTGGCAAGCCTCCTTTGTTTTAAGGCTTTGTTTTAATGCTTCAGGTTCTAGTGAGTCATTTAAATCTCAGTCCTAATGGCCTAACATCACAAGTGTTTTAGTCTGGAAATGATGCTGACACAAGTGGGGTGTAGAAAGTTGAAACTCAGAAGTTTTATATTTTTAGAGCCCTATGCTTATCTGAGGATAGTAATGGGCAAGGCCCCATTTTCTGAGGGTTTGCAAATTCATCTGAGCATTACATTTTGACATGAAGTGTAAAACTAGAATCACACAATGATGAATCAGGCCTATGGGAACCTACTGGCAAAATACAACTCTTGGATGAACTCAGAGAGAGAAGCTTATGACCTGAGAAGTAGTGAGTAGAGATAGTGGTGGGAGTATAACAGCACTCTCAGCTGCCTGCCATAGGGAATCTTACTACTTTCAAAGACGGTTTAATTTGAAAAAGATACGTGTGAATAGAGAGTTGGGCGTTTTGTTCATCGCAACACACTGCAAAGTAGGGAGCAGCTGTTGAAAGCCAAGGTCTTCATAATACAATGCAGTGTTCCTGCAGTGTTGAATGAACAGCCTAGGTTTAAAGTCTCCTCAGCTGAGTTATCACAGAGATAATAAGAGCATGGGCACAAGCCAGTAATGGTGACACAAGGGCAACATAATATGCTGTGCGTGTTGGAGCTTGGTGATCTAACCACTGGGGTTTTGGAGCATTGTGTAGCTAGCCCCTGTTGGGGCAGAAATGATTCTTACTTGTGTAAAGAAGGGTGACTGCGCCCAAAAGCTTGCCAAGAACTTTTTTCCAACTACTCAGTTGGTCTAATAAAAGATAACACATCTACCCAAAGAACCTTGCCTGCCTATGTCCTTAGACCAACATGGCTACTGCCAACAACCCAGCACTATTTTTTCTGTCTCTTGAAACATCTAACATCAACCCCCATAAGAAGAATGGACCTGAGTGATAACAGAAGAGAGAAGTGCAAACCTGCCTTTCAAAAAAGTTAACAATAATTTGTCCTTAGAAAAGGCAATGCGTAAGTTATCTTAGAAGCCATTGTTTAATGTTTACATCTCCTCTTGTGAGAAAGGTGGTTATGATTCACCCATTTTACAGACTGGGAAACTCAGTCACAAAGTAGATGAGTGACCTACTCAGAATCCATCACGCAGAGTCATTGGCAGTGCTACTTAAGGATGAAATCCTGGCACTTGTTAAGTCAGCAGCAGTTTCACCATAGACTTCAGGTGAGTAAGGATTTCCCACCAGGAGTCCTGACTCCCCGTCCTATTCTTTACCTGTAAATAACACAAACATCCTACATTTTATACACAGTTTACAAAGCACATTCCCAAAGGATTGCACGGTGCAATCTGTTTTTGTCCTCAATCAACCCCAGGTAAAGAGGAACACTGCTTCCTCCTATTACAAGGGTATCCCTGATAAGATAAATTCCTTTTAAAGCACAAGGCATTCACTGAAAGGAAGTGACAGTTTTGTTGACATTTAAGATCTCGGTCACTCTATTCAGTAAAGAATGAGTTCAAATCTACGGATCATCCTGCAATGAGTTGGTCTGGTCAGCCTGCTGCCTGAATGTACCATGCATATCATTAGTCATTCATTTATGTTTCTCATTAGAATTAATCCTAATAAATTCATGGCTTACTGGGGAATAGCAGATTTTTAAATCCAAGCTGGAGCTGACTCTCCCTCCTTTCAGACAGGATGGCTTTGCTCTGCTGTTGTCAGTGATTTTACATCTAGTTAATGCTGAGCCAGGCTGCACAACTACACAGGAGAAAAGCAGGCTTCTGTCTTTATGCCACCTTGAAATTTATGCTGCTGAAATACACAGGCACAAAGGCCTAATCTGTCTTGGCACAATGGGTACAGTGCTGTCAAGTGAGTATAGTCTGGCTTTGCGTGTGATCAGATAACGTTTCTTTTATTTATTTCCCAGCGATTGAATTGCTGGCAAATTAACAAGGAGTCTTATTCGTTGCAGACCCAGAGTCTAGCCCCATCAAGACTTTAGTGCAAGTGCTGGAGTGGCCAAGTAGAGGCTGTGCTCTTCTTGACCTGCTGCTCACAAACAGGGAAGAATTGGTGGGGAACGTAGTAGTGGATGGCAACTTGGGCAGCAGTGACCACAACATGATTGAGTTCAGGATCCTGAGGAAAGGAAAGACGGAGAACAGCAGAGTAAGGGCCCTGGATTTCATAAAAGCAGACTTTGACTTACTCAGGGAAGTCATGGGCAGGATCCCCTGGGAAGCCAACCCACAAGAGCTGGTTGTATTTTAAAGAAGCCTTACTGAGAGTGCAGGAACAAACCATCCCGATGTGCAGGAAGATTAGCAAGTATGGCAGAAGACCAACTTGGCTTAGCAGGGAACTTTTCAGTAACCTAATCACAAAAAGGAAGCTTATAAGAAGTGGAAACTTGTAAAAACACTGAGGGAGGAGTATAAGAGTATTGCTTGGGCATGCAGGGATGAGGTCAAGGAGTTCAATGCTCAACTAGAATTGCAGCTAGCAAAGGGTGTGAAGGGTAACAAGAAGGGTTTCTACAAGTATGTCAGCAACAAGAGGAAGATCAGAGAAAGTGTGGGTCCTTTACTGAACGGGGAAGGCAACCTAGTGACAAATGATGAGGAAAATGCTGAAGTACTCAGTGACTTTTTCAACTCAGCCTTCACAGGCAAGGTTGGCTCCCAGACTACTGCACCAGACAGCACAGTTTGGGGAGGAGGTGAGCCGCCAACAGTGGTGAAAGAACACGTTAGGGACTACTTAGAAAAGCTGGATGTGTACAAGTTCATGGGGCCAGATGGGATGCACCTGAAGGTGCTGAGGGAGTTGGCTGATATGATTGTGGAACTGCTGGCCAACATCTTTGAAAACTCATGGCAATCAGGAGAGGTCCTGGATGACTGGAAAAGGGCAAACATACTGCCCATATTTAAGAAAAGGAAAAAGGAGGATCCAGGGAATTACAGACTGGTCAGCCTCACCTCAGGTACTGGAAACATCATGGAGCAGATCCCCAAGAAATCCATTTCTAAGCACTTGGAGAACAAGGTGATTAGAAACAGTCAGCATAGATTCACCAGGGGCAAGTCATGCCTGACCAACCTGATTTCCTTCAATGGTAAGATGTATGGCTCTGCAGATGCGGGGCGACCAGTGGATGTAGTATACCTTGATTTAGCAAGAGTTTTTATACAGTCTCTCACAATATTCTTGCAGACAAGCTAAGGAAGTGTGGGCCAGATAAATGGACTGTAAGGTGGATAGAAAACTGGCTGGAGCATCAGGCTCAAAGGATAGTAATCAATGGCTTGATGTCTGGTTTGCAGCCGGTATCAGGTGGAGTGACCTGGGGTCAGCCCTGGAGCAGGTTTTTAAGCAAGATGAAGCCTTGGCTGCGATGATCTAGTTGGGGATGTTCCTGCTTTGGGCAGGGGTTGGATTAGATGACCTCCTGAGGTCCCTTCTAGCCTTAATTTTCTGTGATTAGTCACATCTCCTATTTTCCCTCCAAAATATTTGGAAGTTAATTTAATGCTAGATTGACTGCTGTGAAGACAGTCTGACACTGCATTACTTGCAGTACTGGCTCTCAACCATTTTAGACTCAAGCAGCCCCTTGGGAGATGCCATCGCTTGACTCTTGACTCCTTTCTTGACTCTGGAAAAACAAAATAATAGAATAATTTCTCTGTTGCAAAGAATGCAGAACAGGGCAGAATATTTTGGACACCATGGATTCCTATTTGAAATCCCTGGCTGCGTCCTTATGAGCATGGCTGTGCTGTATGTGGTGCCGTAGACATGTCTATGGTGCCACATACCACACATTCAGGTGTTCTCCGCATTGCAAGGTATTTTGGTGAAATTTGACACCTGATTTTAAAATTGCAATGCTGAATACCTACAACTGAGCTGCAAACTAATCACCCCCAGTACACACTGCAACAATGTTTAACAAGCTGAATAGAAATTTCTAAGAATTCTGTTCCACTGAGAGTTTGAAACTTCAACTTTTCATAATATTTCAGAATGGGACATGATATTGAAATGTTGGAATGTCTCACACTTAACACGAAACAAACCCAGCAATGATGTCTGTTGCTGCAACACCA